GGGGGGGCTAATCGTCCGTCTAAGTGTCTGCGATAATCTGAAAGTCACAGATTTGGCATATTTTATGTCATTGATGAAAACATTAATATGTTACCCCCCTTAATCTGGGAACCGGGGTCTTGTTACCAATGATCAAATCGGGCTGGGGGTGGAATTAATTTGGTAAATTTTTTCCCCTCGATTTAGTAAATGTTTAACACAACGATCAGTAATAACCGCCGGAGAATCTGGTACACGCGTAAAAATTGAGAAAATCAACAACTTGTTCCAGGTTGATGTCAACAGCGTGAACAAGGTTGTTGCGGCCCACTATGAACAGTATTGTCAACGTGTTGTTACAGCATTGTTCAACTGTAACAACTTGGAACAACATGTATGGTTGACAACATTGTTCACACCTATCGATATCAACTTGGAATAACCTGTGCGTTTTTAGCCGTGTAACACTGGTCCAATAGTCTATGGAACAGTTGGGCCAATGTTCAGGTCTTACTATGGTCAATAATGAAATATCTTTGCTTATTTTATATATTACTGGGTCCAGAACACAACAATATAGAAATAACAATAAGGTCGACATGTACATTTTAATGACTATTAAAAACTTGAATACAAATGCATAACATAAACTATTATACTTGTAAATGACAGAACAACTGTATACAAACCAAAATTTGTGTAGTGTGAATTTTATCGCTTGTCGAAAAACAGCTGAACTCGTATACTGTATATTATTATCCGGATGCATGTCACTTACGTCTAATTCAACCAAAGCAAATTTTATAATGTGCTCTACCTATAGGCGGGGATTATAGTCTCCACTCTGTGGTTCTAGGGTCGGATCCAGACCGACAAAGCCAGTGTTAGCACAACAGTTACTGTCTAAAGTTTAACAAATTAATAGTTCAGCGGGAGCGCCACAGGTTGATATAAGTTTTCTACTGATATATCCCCATGCGCCCTCATTCGTCAGTCTGGATAGTCCATTAGACCTAAGAGTCTCATCCCGTTGTTGTGAAACAAAAGTCCCCACGTTCAATTGGAGCACTAGCTGAACACGCAGAAAGCGTGTTTTGACGAAAGCGTAGTCGGGGACTACGAAATTATATTGTCCTTTACATATATACCTAATTAATCAATATAACGTTCAAGTACGAAAAGATTTATACACCTCATATTATGTAATATCTATGCAAAAATCCTCGACGCCTAAGCCTATATAAGGATATAAGAAGTAAAAATCCACAAGTACAATAAACTTAACAAAACGGACTTAGCCGCTCGACTCAGTTTTCGTTGTGATATACAATAATCAAATATTCAACTACAAAAAGATTTATACACATGTAATGCAATATCTATGTAAAACTCTCGACGTTATGCAAGGAGTTACTACAAGTAGAAAATTTAAGTACAATAAACTAAACGAAAAGGTCGTTGGACTTGGACTTAGCTCTGCTCAGATTTCCTGTAGAGGCTACAGAAGGTGCTGCACGTGCAGGAGCGAAGTAGGTAGATCCAGCAGCAGGGACAGATGCAACGGATGCGTTACCACCACGAACTGTAGCAGTACCAATCACGGTACCATCTGCCTTCTCCAGGATCTGGTAATCATTTTTGTGTTGCATCACAAACCATATCGTAAGCACGACCACGGCAACGAGGACTAACATAAGAAGCAGGGCAACAACAATCAATACAGCCCAGTTGGTATCTTCGGCTTCGTGAATTCCGACATCACGAAGGAACTCGGTGGAGGGATAGTCGGTCGGTGTCGTAGGTCCAGGGACTTCACGGGTGGTCATTGGTATAGGAGTGTTTATGGTAGGGCCGCATGATTGATGTTCAATTGGCGAGACTAAAAAGGAAAATATGCGGAATATATAGGTTTCACTCTGACATTCTTTCATCTCACAATATACTGATGCAGGTACAGGAAATGAAGAACATTGAACGATCAACTGTTACACAAATAACAACTATTACGCAAGGAGTCAAACATTCGAGGCGAATGGTTTTTTTGTTAGAAAAAAGTGGCACCTGTTACTCTGTCAGAGGTTTCCACTTAAACTGTATAGTTAATTTTTTTGATAAACTGCTTTTTATTAAATTACTCAAATGTACAGAACGAGATAAATACAAAGTATAATGAACTCACGTGAACCATTACTGGAACGTATTCCTCGTGCAATTGGCTCCACAGTCTCAGGCATAGCTTCATCGGCTGCGTATAGATGAAACTTCGCTCCAGAAATACATCCAACAAACACATCGTCTGTTCCTCCTACCTTCGTGTTACCGACATAGTATTTGTACGGCTTCATAAACTCAGCTGCAGCTTTTAGTTGATAGTCTCTTTCAACAATTTTACGACCGTCGATTCTATACTTGATCTTACTTTCGCTAGATCCTTCGACAGTTCGTTCGATATTTACGATGTGTCGCGTTCTATCACAGAAGTCGATGTTACCGACATCAATCCTGAGTTTTTCTTCACGCTGTAGCGGAAGTAGTCTAAATTCGAATTCGAGCGAATTTCTATCTATCACACTAAGTTTGTAGTATTGAGCTTCGTCTTCGCTTAGGATTTGAAATAGCGTTCCACGGCAGCGGTCGTTGACAGCTTCGGTAGAGAACGCCAAGACTATTTTTTCATACTTTGACGAAGCCATCGTGAGGTTAGCGTACTCATACACAGGAGAATTTTGAATTTTGGTACCGATCTCTACAAAAGAGCAAAAATGATGACGGTTAATCAAAAAGGCTTTGATAACGCCTTCGATATTGTACGTTTGTCAGTGCATAAAATCCTCAACAAACAATTGTTGAAGAAAAAAATTGCAAAGGTATCGGACTTTGTTGGGCGGAAACATTCTTGCTCCACGGAACTATTTTATTATAAAGTATAGACATTCTGTGCAACAGATGAGTAAAATAAAAATCGTATCGTTTTCACATGTGAATTTTTGCGTATCAGCGTTTTGATTGGTTGGACGATATTTTCACATGTGATGAATTAGCGTTTTTCTGGCTGGTGTTTTCGCGCTCATAATTGAAATTGAGTTTTTACTGTATTTTTCTTTAAAGGGATATATGGCAATAAAAATTAACTTTGTCTTATTTGGAAGAACTTTTAAAGCTATATATGAAGACCCTTTACAACTTTTTGGAGGCCTACCTTGCTTGGTTTTCGAAATATTTTGACCCAAAACAGTGTGCAGTCCGCCATCTTGGTATTATAATCGACCTAATTAACTGAGTTTTTGATGACGTCACAAGCAGGGTAAACTTGTTAAAACGTCTTCATGTGGGACTAAATTTTTTCGAAAAGTTTCTTAAAATGTTGTTGTTACCCTACCTGTGACATATGCATAATCGAATGCATATCCAAAAGATGGCGGATTGCACGCTGCTGTTGATCAAAATAAGTCCATTTATTTCGAAAACCGGAATAATTGTAAAGGAAGTTTATATATAATTTTAAATGTTCTTTCAAATAAGACAAAACTTAATCATCACAAACACACTCAAGGCTAACAATATTTAAGATTTTACAGCAATTCCGGCAGGCAAATGAAGAAATCTCGTTGCGCCAGAGTCACTAAATTATCTCTATTCTAGATCTCATACATAAAACAAATTACTCCATGGTTGTTGGTTCCTTTGCACGATTTTTATTGTTTACTCGTTGTGAAGCTGCACTCACTCGTTTGCTTAAGGTACGTTTATTATACACGCTGCGACTTGTTGTGTATAATTCATATTCTGGCTCGAACAAGCATGCACGCGTAAAATTCTTGCATTTCAGATTTCGCCATAAAACAAATGCAGTGAGTTGTGGCGTCAGCAGTACAGTAACTTTCATACACTAAACACCTTTAGCGATGCGTCACTGCACCTCGAAAATAAAAATCGTATGCACTCACCAACCATAAAGGTATTGTGTAGATTTCTTACATTTTTATAACAAATGAGATACCATAAACTGATTATACAGCTTACCTTTGCTACAATAAGTTCCATAGAAAGGAGTTTCGGAACAGTCGCACTTATATGATATATATTGTTCAACACACGTGCCATACGGACATGGCTTATGTTCGCAAGCATTTCCACAACCTTTCAAAACCAATACTTCTGGCTCCATAGCAAGATGATCAACAGCATTGGCAAGGTCGAAAAGAACACCATTTATTGTCTAAATTAAACAGAGCAAAAACAGGTCTCGTGAAAAGTACATGGCTTACACTGTTCATTTCACTCCACGTCTGCGATTCTAAACTGCCCATATTAGCCCAATACTGTAGCTACGAACGATATACATTATACATGCAGTATATCATGTATATATACATTATACATGCAGTATATATGAGCTCGAATCTCGTTCGAAATAGTATTAAATATCTCGTTTGCCCACATTGTCTACACTAATCAATCCTCGGATACGCTTCGCTTCTACTAAACTCCAACCTCCCAAAATACTCATATCAGATGAACTTGACGTATGAATTTCATGAGTATCATATTTCCTGAACACGACTAGAGAAAACAATTTTCTTCCTGGGAGAAAACCTGGAGAGGAAATTTCCTGCACACTAACTAATATTTTTTGTGGTAAATCCGGGCCCAAACATGGTGTCCTAGTTGACGACGGTTTTAAATTAAATTAAAGGAAAGATGTCTGTCAACAATACGTTATTGGGTCGATAGTGGAACATGAGTGTTAGGGTTTCCTTCAAATTCTTTAACCCAACAAATTTCCTGCAGCTGTTCTATTAAACAGTTTAATCACTGTGAGCGGTGCTCGCCTACTTTTCCATCCTGTTGCTTGAGTCGCAGTAACGCAAGTCAAAAACACCTTAACTTAACGACGTTTTCTCTGTAAGAATTCTTAATGAAATTATTGGGGATAGCAATAATGTGGTGACTGAAAATGTTATATGCATAGGTTATCATTATGAGGGGCGAGGTGTTGAGGTATACAATCGAGTATGACGTGTACCTTTCTAATAAGCGAATATATAATTACTTACAAATCCCTTCATGCATCCGACATATCCTTTCTTATACGTTGGGAACCTCCAAAACGAGCCAACAAACATAGGTAGGTCAATATTCAAACGACTTCGACCATCTCCGCTAAGTGGAAGTGGCCGCAAAGGTTGCTTATTGACTGGATCTAAGGCAGGTTTATCATCGATTTTTACTGACAATTCCCATAATGTGCGAATAACCTGAATCCTGTGCCACTCGTTGTCAACAAGGTTCCTCTTACGCTCCCCCTTCTCTTGACTGTCGTCTATTGCGGCTCTATATTTTGTTCGGATACTGGTACCGAAACTGACCACGACTTCAATTGTTGTTTCGTCGTATATGCGAACCTATGGATATGGTGAAACTTTAGTTTAGTAGTATTTCTTCACATTTCGCACTAGAGACGAGTGATCCTTCAAGACGCATCATCAATCTGACGTGTCATTCATCTTTGTAATCTGACGTGTCATTCATCTTTGTACATGTGATAATACAAAGCAATATATCACGACGAACTAGCTAATAAAGCGCGATCTACACTGACCTATAATGGATATGGAGATGAGCCGATCACAAAAATTGCGTATTAAAAGAAAACTGTCGATGGGTAGGGATGGGACTACATACGCTGGCACAGCCGGTTATATAGATCATATTCAAAGGCCGCGGTTATCCGATAACCGTTATGTTGATGTCATCAGGCCCATCTAGATGACTGTGCGTATAGGATAAATTGCTTTGGTTTATTCACATTTTCGTCCTTATTAAACAAGCTTTTCCGCAAAGTTTTAGTAAAATATCATGTAAAATTAATATTATGGAAAGAAGAAAAATAACACGAAAACTCCTAAATAATTTTCTTAAACAGTTAAATTGCCCTTTAGCAGCATATTGATAAGCAACTTGCAACTTTTCATATTGATTCATAAATTAGACCAAGTAATTTCGGATGTTAAAGATAACATCGGAATGATAAATTTAACGTAAGCATGAGGCACAGTGTCACCTGCTGAGCGACGTGATTTGAAAAATTTCACAAACGTTTTACTAAGAAGCTAAGAGTAGATAGGGTAAGACAAAGTGCAGTAAAACAACAAATCATGGTGGCATGTCGATTTAAAACTGCCAAGACGACCGATCGAAACAAAAGGTCGATACCGGCGTTCCGCGAGCCACCTTCAGAATTGTTGTGTGGACATGATTTTAATATTATATTGCGTTGTGCAGCAAACATATTTGTTCAAGAATCATATGATACATGCATGTTTCGCGCGTAATTATACATTTAGAGACAAAGATTAGCAAGAATACTATATTTGAATAATGACATCTGGTTATCATCTGAACACCATGCAGTTTCAAGTTCGAATAGTTATGTACAAAGTGGGCAATATATGCAAATAGCAATGATGATATAATGTCAAAAGTATGCGATTGGGCCAAAGAGTAAAATAATTGTGGCCAAAAAAATCAAAGAAAACCGTTAAAATAAAAATTAAAATGTTTTCGTAATCCGATCATGATAACTAATTTGGCGAGGACTATTTCACGCTTTGCCTCAAGCGTGTGCATTTAATAATTTTTGTCTCTAAATGTTATGAGAAATTTACTAATACGCATTTATACATTGCCAGAAGCATGGTTTAATTCTCAAAGAACATCTCGATTACGTATGTAATGCATGACCACCTAAATGTACCACACGAGTGGTGAATTCGGGTAAGTCGTACCTGGAAGATATGACTTTCATCGCTATTTCTATGATCAATAAGATCTCCTGTGGGAAAAACAGTTTTGATATAGAAGGATATATCACCGCCATAAGGAGCGTTCCATGGAGGCGCACGGACCCAGCCGTCTGGAGCAAGGAATGTCACCACACCAAGAGTATCTGATAAAAAATACGAGACTTGTTAGTTGATGAGCAACACAGATTTTCAAATTTCACACATCTAATGGTAGACAATGTGCGACTTATGTTAATATGGAATAAATCGAGAGTGCATGAATGGTACATGTATATTGATGCTCGATGGTGAATGGACGCACAGCCGGAGACTAGTAACCAGTCTAATTTACAGCTGCGTGTATACTAGAGACCTATAAGGCTATAATTGATTGACCCTCTCTCCTCTACAGAGCCAAATGCTTGGATAAGTGAATTTAGAATTTAATGCATCTGCACATGGTATAGTACTTCACCTAGGACCGACCTAGCTGTTTGAGCCAAGCTAAGCATAAACGCCGGTCTACACGATACGACTAGTCGCACATGATTGTCATCTTGGGGTATGAAAATTACTGTCAACACCATAATTCTTCTTCATACCCCTGTACGCATAATGGTCACCAATTTGTAGGTACACTAGGCGTCAGGTAATTTTCACTGTCAGTATAAGGCTTAAACGAACCTAAATATACAACGGTTGAACGGGCCACAGTATCACTACAACTTCACTACCCTGAAATTGAGCTCCGTGAAGTAATTGTAACTTTTTTTGTCTTAACAGAGTTAACTATTTATTGCACTTTTTTGCGAATAACCTAGTTTTCATGTTTTAGCATGGCAGGTGCACGTGAAAGTTATATCCTCATGTTTCGTGAACGAATATGTTTCTAACATGAGGAAATAACGAAATGAAACCGAGGCCATTGAGGCAAGAGTGCAATGAACAGTAGTACATGCAGTCTATTGTTCTGAACTTACCGACTCCGTAACAGTCGATCCTTTTGATAGTAAAAGTAGCTTGTGATGTCTTACTCAAACCACCAAACTGTACCTCACGTACGGGTAGATCACGTGTGACGTTCAGTAGACCTTCATCGGATGCGGCTCGAGTTTCTGCTAATTTACTGTCGCAGTGGCAAAATCCACCATCCTGGCAACCTTTAGCTGTATACGCACAGGCACATTTATAACTATCTCGTTTGGCACCACCCCAGTAATATTGGAGATAACCATTTGCTGACAGCCATCTGGACGCAGGGTCACCACCGGGAGCGTTAAACAACTTCGCATCTTTGCAATCATATTTAACCAACTGTGTGCATTGTTCGCTTCGATCTACGATAGCTTTCACACTTTCGATTGAAACCTGAGAAAACATAGAAGGAGATAGTGAGATTGATCTCAACCGATATTTAAATTTTATTATGCAATTCTAAATTCGAGTCTCTGTTTTGATTGACTGCTGCTGGCCTTGATTCGAGGGCTTACTATTTGCGCCCTATTGGTCTGCTACAGCATCCCCAAGGCTCATTGCGCGAATCTAATTTTTTTTCTCGAAGCGAGTATGAGGGACTGTGGAATAGTCAGCTTTCGAGGGATTATTTCCGGGTCCTCCGATCAAAAATTAACTCTTAGGCCATTGTTCTCGAGCACGTGTATCGCATGCATCAACTTGGGGGGATTAGCTAGGCAACCACACCTTGTCGAAAATATACTGTACAAACTACAATTTCTAAATTACTACCTCATATTTAATTTCTTTCTTGTATGAAAATCTTTCAGTATAATCAATAGGTGGTGAAATTGTCACTCCATTACTAGTTTCTTTGGTTTCAATTTCAGTGAGGCCTTGCATTTCTTGTCCTTGAGTTTTTTTGCTGTAATCGCATGTGACGGAGACAGGAGTGAGTGGGCCCGAGTCATCAGGATCAACATCGTATTTACGCCTAGTATCGCCACCAATTCGTCCTGGTTGGTACTTCTTTATAGCACTGCAGGATGTCGCCAATGAAGCTGAAATATTAAATGGTCAAATATTCAAACAATTTCACTTTTTTTGCTTCTAAAATGCACTTATCATATCTCCTCTACCTAGGCCCCATCCTCTATTTAGCATGTGAAACGACTCAACACCATCAGACCCTCTTTTAAGTCAACCTCGTACCCAGATTCTTATCTCCGCCGGCCCTATCGCTACGAAAATACCCTGGTTGGGGCTGGTCACCCTAAAATCAGTTTTCAATTAGCGACCTATATGCTACTTAAAGAGGAGTAGCTGAGTAATACATGTCGTTGTTTATGTATATTGTAAATGCATTCTGAACAATTCAGGTCGTGATGCGATAAATACAAAACGATGCTCAAATAAGACACTGTATAAGGGTAAAGCCAAAGATACTCCAAAACATACTTTATAAAGGCAATCAATCTCAAATTACAGACGATTGCCGTGAGTTAACTGATTCAGTTCCTCGCGACTGGTTCTTCACAGAAGACATTTTGCTATCTCTACATAGTTCTGTATTTCAAGCCTAAGAGCAGTATTCAATATGTTTTACGGTTGGAGGACTACGATTACAAAGGAAATAAAACTGTTTGTCTTCACAAGATAGACAATCGGCCAACGCTTGAGAATTATAATAATTCCCTATTCTTCAAAATTCTGAATGAACCACATTCCATATGGACACAAACTACAAAGGTAACTAAAATTTATGAACGACGAGTAGGAGACTCAGTGCTCAATCAGATATAGAACAAGAGACGACAGCCGAGTGTTTTATATCTGATAAAGCATGGAGTGCGAATGGCTTGAAAACATCCATCTTATGAGTTCATTGGCGAACTAATTTTAAAAATAACGCTGTCTAAGCTGAGAAAATCAAAGCTAACATTTATGTAAATTAACGTGACTTTTTTATGACATATAAAAGCAATAGACCTTTATAAAAAGGTTGACGTCAGCAGGATTGTGACGTAGTTTGCGGAGAAAATCCCGAAAGCTCAGAGTTGTTTACTTGTTTTGAATTTTTTAAAAGCCAAAAGAAGCCAGTATTATGGTAAGTTTGAAGTAATTTTTTTTATACATAGGTCAAACGAGTTTTCATATTCGTCGCAGTTTAAGTTTTATTTGTTTTTTATATTAGATTGTACATTTATTTTACTGTCAATATTTAGCAAATTGTTCGCTCGGTCTGTTTACATATTTCGTTGCTAAAAAGTATAATTTTTCTTTTTTGTTTCTCGAATTCATCATGCAGTCTAATCATCAGAATGACCCCAATCAAGCAGATTCAAGCTGTAGACAGCAATTCACAGGAGCGGTACATAAGTCATAAGTGAACTTAGACATAAACTAAGAATGTCTATAAGTCTATTATTTTATCGATATATAGTTGAAGTGAACATATACATGACAAGTAGCTTTTATCAATCGTGTATAACACTTTCCGTGTCTGGGTCAACAATCTAGCTTTAATTTTCTTTCAAAAACTCATTAATAATTCATGAAGCAATTATCCAATCTTGAGTAAGAAATTAGTCATGTGCATACGTCTTTATACCAGCTAAAGAACACTTTAACAAAAGACCATTGTTATGCAAACTATATAAAGGTTTTTATATAAAGATTTTTATATAAAGATTTTTATATAAAGATTTGACTTATTATGCATACGTTTTTGAAGTCATTTAAAAAACTCGCGGGTCGTGTTTTATTAGGTCTAAAGCCACTCGCGCTGCGCGCTCGTGGCTTTAAACCTAATAAAACACTCCCGCTCGTTTTTTAAATAGTACATCAAGGTTTTGCCAGGTTCTGATGATTAGACTGATGAATTCGAGAAACAAAAAAGAAAAGATTCATTCAACCACACCAAAATTTTTCTTCACTCCTCCTATTTTGTGTGAAAGGCTTTAACCCAAACGCCTAACCCCTGCTGAGGCTCACTGAGTGGTGTCGCTTGCACCCCACCAGATATTTTTCTCCCCTCCTTTTAAATAAATGAAAATCCACCATTGGATTGATTTGTATGTCATTTACGATATTGACTTTTTTTGCTGCACCTTCTTTAATCTAGCTGCTGTTCACATACACAGAGTCAAAGATGAAAAGTTAAGTGCGGCACCATTACAATGATTATATAACGTAGTTTATAAGTTTCTTTACTTTCACTTTTGTATGCATCATGAAACGTACTACACCCTACAATACAGGATTTGTATATTGCGAACTAATGTATTAGACCCTAGCTGGGTACAAGGTTGCCGGCTTTAGGTATAGCTTGAGTATACATATAAAGTATCTATAAGTTGCTTAAGTACAAAGAACTTGAAAATACATTTAGCCCCAACCCTCAACCCCCCTCCCCCCTCTAATAAGCCCTCAGTCAAGAGCTACTGGAAAAATAATTCCCTGCGGGCCTATAAACAGAGCAAATACGGGAAAAGCAGTCACAATAAATAAGAATTTGGTCTTCTCCTTATTGGTATCCATACATTACCTACAGTATACATGTAGATAAACCCCCTCATTACCTTAATTGTAATACCAAGTTAAGGCAGGTTTATTGCCGTCATTCTAATAAATGCAATATATATATATATATATATATATATATATATATATATATATATATATATATATATATATATATATATATATATATATATATATATATGTTCATATTCGTTTTTCGTGGATACGATGTCATTAAATGAGTTCCGAATTATCTTACTTTGTTTTTGCTGCTAAAATGCATCTAATGACGTCATCCCCGCTACTTTCATGAAGATGAATTTTTTCCAATGAAAATAACCCAAGGAATACATTTCGGTTTAGAATGACCTAAGTATCACACGTACCAAGTGTCCTATTATACGCTGGGTATTTTATACACAGTAAGCTGAAACGGTAACATAACCCCTTTCCCCTTCAATATTATGAGACTAGAGTTCATATTTTATTTTAACTGATTTTGTGTTCTACTGCGCTGTCAATAACTTTCCGGCAAGTAATAGAACATTGCCAATACATTGTCATGCATACTTACAGAACTGACAGAAAGGCGGTTGGTATTTATGTAGGCATTCGCATTCGACACCAGGATCTTTTGTGACGGTTAGGCATCGTGCATCGTGGAAACAAGGATTAGGGATGCAAGGATCGCTTGCTTTACATCCTTCACTCAGTTCATCGAAACCATCAGCTAACTTACTCTGCACTCTGTACGGATCAACAATATCATAGTAAGTGATATTTACACCCTGCAGGACCATATTACGAATGCAGCCAATAAAATTCATCTTGTTTTCGTAAACCCCATAAGTGATTACCGCACCGTATTGTGGCTTATTTGAAGGCGTTATCCGTCTTCGTACATCGTTCAATTGTAACTCCAAATTGTGATTCTCTACGACAAATTCTATACGGAACCATCGTCCATCGTTGGCTTGTCCTTCTTCAGGGAAGTCTATGGAAATTATATCAGCACCGCTGATCAAACTTAACTGAGATTGCTGGAACTTAAGCGAGACACTGGACGCTGTGAATATTGTGCCTTGGAAGAGGACAGTACGGAAATCCAAACTACCATAAAGTTTTTTCAAAATTTTCGTAGGATCGATCGGGTCTTTCTCCTGAATTACAAACCTTAGGAACGTTTCACGCTTGAAATTCATTGCCCTTGGTGGAATTTTGGGGTTATCCGTCTCCTCTATGTCTGAGGTAAAGCCATCTCTTTTGTTTATCGCCCCATCTATAAAATCGACTTTGTGGCTACTTTTAAAAGTAGCTTGATACATACACCCTTTGAAATTCACTCGATGGAAGGAGGGGTACTGTAGGGGTGGGTTTAAGTAGCCACCGACGTAGATAAAGCCGTTGAGATCTAAGCGGTCATCTTCTCCGGGTATGACGATGTCCATCTTGTCCGACTGCCCGCCATAAGCCGACACAGTGAGTTTTTTCTTGTCTCTCGTTACCATCACGGTGGAAACGATATCGTCTCCAAGGCCGTCACCAACTATTACTTGCTTTAGAGTACTGTTCCGACCAAGTTGATACCGTACCCTAAAAAGAAAGGAGTCGGTCAGTTAAAGCCTATAGGTGCAGTAAGCACAACCATGGTGCGATGTGGTAAACCTGTAGTTATAACCACTTTCATAATAAACACGGATTCATTTTTTACGGAACTTCTAATCAGGGGTGGAAAAATATCAGACCACGGGGTCCCAGCAGAAAATATTTTCCCAAGAAAGAAAAAAAAGATAATTGCAATAATTTAATAGATAAAAGGATAAATTTGGAGGAACATTTCTTACCAGTAGAAAGAATGTTGCATGTGCTGTACTGTACTGTAGGTGCGACCTCAGAAATGCAATAATAAGTGCATCCATTTTAATGTATTAGACCATGGAATGATGTAATAAATGTTTTAAATAAATGTTGTATGGCACATCCATTTTTAGCAAATCTCGGACAACTGGGGGAGCACGGATCCCCCTGCATGATAGTACCCCCTTGGCACCTGTATTTACCTTAGGATCAGACCCTTGATACATGTTATCTAAATTAGTTTTATGTCTAATAATATACATGAAAAAATTTCTCAATTCTGATTGGCTAAGAGCAGTGCAATTTTTTGAAAAATTGAAACAACTTAAAATAATGAAACAATAACAAAGATAGCCAATTACATACAGCAATTTCCAGCAGAATGAACATAAAAAAAACATTTAGGAGTTTTTAGGAATGACTGCATAATTTTTTATGTATATTTAATAATATACATAAAAAATGTAATATAAGTAAAGTATCTTTTCCACCCCTTCTTAATAAGCTTTCTCGGCCTTGTTCAATTGCGTTCAAAAATATGTACGAGTAATGGCATTTACGCCTCCTTTTCCGTTCACGCCTAGTCAGCTATTCATGCCCAAATATTAGAAAATGTTTTGCCCTGCCAATGTTCACAGAAGAAAATATTGGCCACAACTAGAGGGGTGGAGATCTCGTGGCAATAGTGCTCGCATGTTGGGTTCAATTCCAGCTTTTGCAATTCAGAATCGTTTTTCAAAAATTGACTTGACGCCAAACTTTTTTTCTTTCTACACTATTGAGGACCAAACCGTGTAATATTACATTAATTTCATAAATCTTCGTTTGCCCATGATTCAGGCTAATCGTGCCTCAGTCCAACCACTTATATAGCTCACCTCAACTTTCCCCTGACAAGTTCCAACAAAACATGATCGCCATTTAGTCCTCTGGAATGAGCATATAACAAGAGACCACTGGCATCAGTTGAACGAAATTTAAACTTGATCTCATCTTTTGCAGAACTTAGTGGTTTACTTGGTGATATCTCATAGCGAATGTACGATGAACCATCAAAACAGATTTGCTTTTCTGCAAGTAGAAATTAAAGAACAATTATTTATCATCATGCGATACAGTTAGATATGTATTTAGAAATGGTAGACTGTCATTTATTATATAAACATAAGTGTTATATAGAGATTTTGCCCACTGAAAAAAAATCGTATTTAAACACGTAAAAATACGATATTTTTACGTGTGAAAATATCATTTGTTGTAAAAGGCATTGCCACGGACGTTTTATTGTTTTTCACTGAATTTTGTTTATTCTGTATAATAAACAGAAAAATACATGGGTGCTTGGAGATACCTGATTTATTTCTCGTGTTGAACGGATATCTCACTCGTTCGCTGCGCTCACTCGTGAGATATCATGTTCAACACTCGAAATAAATCTGGTACTCCCAAGCACTCATGTATTATTCTCTATTTATTATATAGCAAGTGTCAAAGTTCAATTTTCTTGTTTGTCGATTGGACAAAACAGTATCATATAATATGATTATTATATAGCAAGTGTCAAAGTTCAATTTTCTTGTTTGTCGATTGGACAAAACAGTATCATATAATATGATTATTATATAGCAAGTGTCAAAGTTCAATTTTCTTGTTTGCCGATTGGACAAAACCGTATCACATGCCGGTTCACAAAACGTCATGTTCACTGCATGTTTTGGCGAGGGGGCAAATATTGACCGGTCAATAATAAAACCGGACGTTAGGCGCGAGTTGTTCGTGTCTGACCTATCGTGTCATCCAGCAAGTTTAAAGCTTTCAAGAGTTTCAGTACGTCTGCCGGTCGATTTTATTACAGTTTTGGAATACCAGGTGAATTATCGAGACTTTGACACTTGCTATTAATAAATGATAATTAATTAGCCTTTCTCACGCCGCCATTTTTGGGTGGCATTTCAGCCGAAGTCTGCGAGATAAGTCCACATAACAGCGAATGATGGTAAATTTGCTTTGTAAAAGGTTAGTTTGTTTTGAAAAATTGCTTTTCACATTGTTTTAATTGTCTGCATTGGTTAACGAGAATTAGATGCCACCCAAAAATGGCGGATATTCGTCATCGTGAGAAAGGCTAATTAACCATGTCAATATACACTGTATGATCTATTATAGAGGACCGACGCACGGATAACGCTATTTCACTGCTATGATATATCACATAACGTGGTAGCGAACATCACTGACACAGTCGCTCAAGCGCTTGTGGGATACTTTCTTGTTCTTGCGCAGCGCGTTATCACGTCTGCAACTGAAAATACAGTGGCAAAATGCCATCTTAGGCATCTATTTGTTAAATAATTATTTATGGCCATTCCATCACTGCATTAATACTAATAGAATCCTAAAATCACAGTCACATAAATTTTAGAAACTGATAAACAAGGTCCTAATTAACAATTAGTCGCCGAAGGCGAGGTGATTACAAACCTATATTCACTGAGCCGAAGGCGAAGTGAATATCCAAAAATCTTATTGAATGGTTTGACATATAATCCGGCCGAGTATTTTACGAGTTTTGAACGTATTTTTCCGAGCCTTAAAAGGGCGAGGAAAAATGCGAGAAACAAGTAAAATACTCGGCCGGATTATATGTTAAACCATTCAATAGGATTTTGTTATATGACAAATCTCAAATCTTGTTGCGTTTAGCGCTGTGGCAAATAATTTCAGATTTTGAGATGCAATGAAAACAAACATCCTGAAACAGGTTCCGAAGTTGCATACTAAATTAGGAACAACTTAACACTGACGTGATCGTTCTTAAATTTGATTGGATAAAATATCACAAACAAAGAAAACCTGTCAATCAAGTTTGTTGACCAACTAAATAATTATCTGCCACAAACAAGAAAGCTGTTTTGAAGTGATTACATGAAATATGCCGATTAAACGTTGTTAAAAAAGGTGAATTAAGTGAAAAAATAGTACCTAAACAACAGATTTCTTCAACTCTTCATCGTTATAACCAAGAGTTCCGAAAATACTTTTTACGCATTCTAAGTTTATAGACTTTATAGCCCAATCTGCAGAATTCAGCACGTGACTTAAGCGAGCCAATAGCATTTCGTTAGTTGCATAGATCATGAACGCGTGATATTTGCAAAATTTCGACTTCCAAATGTTTGGGGGGATAAAAATAAACTGTTTACCTGTTTAATTCGGCATTTTTTTCAATTTTATTATATAAAACAAATAGATTACATTTTCCCGTTGTCTGTTCAGTTATAGATACACAGTATGACGTCATATGTGGTGAGAACAAAAAGTGACCACTCGCATAGGCGGCTCAAGCCGTAAACACTTTTTTGTTCTTACCACATATGACGTCATACTGTGTATCTATAACTGAACAGACAACGGGAAAATGTAATCTATTTGTTTTATATAATAAAATTGAAAAAAATGCCGAATTAAACAGGTAAACAGTTTATTTTTATTCCCCCAAACATTTGGAAATCGAAATTTTAAAGTATGAAGTACGGAAGAGTTTCAAGGAAAGAGGCAAAGCCAGAGGTTTTTTATGTTCATTAAAGTTGGTCGATTTTTTGTGAGGTTGTGAACTTTCTTTAGTTACGAAAATTTTCTGGAATTAATTTATATCTGTGAACAAAAACACAATGTCAATTCAAATAAAACACCTTCTTTACTACAGTTTTGGAAATGAAATCTTTTGCAGAGGACGATGTTTTAAAAAGTTATAGAAAATGTTAAAGTTTGAGACGCAAAAAAAATAAATTTCAGGAATGACTAATATTAGTCTAATAGGTGTCATTTTCGAGCTCAATATTTTGGGAGTGTGGTAAACAAGGACGGTGGCTCAGACAGAGATAGAACAGCGGAATATGAAAAGCAAGAACAGCACTCATCAGTTTGAACCCAATAAATAAATAAAATTTGTTTTTGTTCTGACACTTGGCAGTTAAGTTGCAGAGAGTCGGCGAGAGGCACAATAATGAAAACCGGCCTTTACTGTAATACAGTACTTGTAAATCATGCAGAGGTACAGGCCTCTTTGAATCAAAATGACCTCTGTGAAACCAAACTTTTTGTCCAGCCCCAGGTTTTGAATCTGACCCGAAGATAAAAATGTACTGTAATGCATCTATAAATGTTAACCCCGGGGGTGGTCGGGCATATGGGGTATTTGATCATCAATTGCATCCCTACCCTGGGGATTTTGATTAGCAATTGGCCCCGAGTTGGGGCAATTTGAACCTAATGACTTTTATTAACATAGTATTTATTGCAATTTATTGCAAAATGGTGGGGCATTTGACCAATATTTATTGCCAGACAGTGGGGTATTTGATTGAAAATTTGCTCAAAAAATCAAATGCCCCACCTATGCTCGACCCCCCCCCCCCTCTGGGGTTTAACATTGATAGGTGCATAATTGATTCTTTGTAGGTTTGCATGGCGATAAAACATATAATAGTTTTTGTTTGTGGAAACACCACGTAAATTTATTACTGCAGTATTTATATGCATTAATTATATGCATTGATTATATGTACAGTACTGTAATTGAATTGAAAAAAGAAATTTATGAAATTCAAACTGATGCTAAAATTGTAATTTGATTCAAATGGAAAAATTAATTGTATCTCTGATCTGATCTGATCCAAACATATGTTACATATAATTGAACTTGAAATAGAATTCTCGATTACAATCATGCAAAAACCAAAATCAAAACAGATTGGACAACACATTGAAACTGATTTACGAATATACACTCAACAAAAAAAAATAATTACGGTATGTTTTTAAGAATTTTTACAGTCAAGCAAAATACTAAAACGTTTCTGATTAGTCACCAGAAAATCAGCTGATTGGACAATGGACATAGCGATTTATTTCAATATTTGCCATGTTTATACAGTTTGTTAATACACTAGACTATTGAATTAATAATAATCATGAAAAAAACCCCACAATATATTTGACTTTGCCATTACAGTTGATTCATAAGTACAGGTACTGTATAAGCTATACACTTTGCTTTTTACCCATGGCCATGATTCAGTTAAAATAAATCAGTTATCTCTCAAGAGTAAATGGCTTTGTGAAAATTCTTGAGAATTTGGAATTCTCAAGGAAATGTTTCCCCCCAAAAAGCAAAAATTACCCTCACTTTTTTGCTGTGCTTTATCGAGTTATTATTGAGCATGTACTTCAGCCAATCAAAAACTTTCTGTTATAACATATATATTATAAATCTTAAATTCTTAGTCTTGTTTAGTAAAAATATTCCAAACAACATTGCTGGAGGCCTCAAAATATGTTTTATAGGGCTGTCAGTCAAAATGTTCAATGACTTTGAGTTTGGGTTGGACATATGTACTGTATGTTCAATGACCTTCAGTTCAGTTTGGCTTGGAAATAGGTCTGAATCAACTTTTGACAGAAGTTAACATCAGCACAATGCATTAATTTTGAACAGTAAATGTTGTGAAGATATTAAATAATTTGTCTCACTCATACTTATTTCCAAGCCAAAATTAACTTGGTTGCCAAGAACTGCAGTAAAACTTTGACATGCAACTTTAGCCTTTTTTCCACTTCACCATTTCGCTCACCACCCCATGCTCAATTACAATAAAGCAACATTTCCAGTTCACTTTTTATACATTACTAAATCCATTGAACAATCCATTGAACATACAAGCTTCTAGTCCTGGACTAGGGCAGGGTCTGAAATTTATAGTTTTTTTCAGTATCCAACTGGGATACCAGGATTCAAAGTTTGGTATCCCCACTGAGAATCCAGTATGAGTATCTCACTTTTGAATACTGGTTACCGGTACCATAAGTATTATACCTTGTCTCATCTAAATAAGTTTTCATAACTCGATCTCACTGTTACAAATTACAATACACAACAGGAGACTCAACAGTCAACAAACAATTCATTAAATTAATGCACTAAAATGCACATACTGTACATGTAATCCTTGACCTTAAATAAACTTCTAATTATGCTAGTCCTCAATGAGGAAAGACTGGTGGCAAACTGATAGTAATCAAAAGCTATGAGGAGCCTGTCAAAGGTGTTTAACATTTTCTTAAATTAATGTTTGAAATTTTCTCAGTATCCATTCGGGATACAAGTCATTCACAGTTTGGTATCCAAAACCAAACTTTTTGGTATTCCAAACTTTTTGGTATTCTGTGGATATTGGGATACTGCAAATTTCAGACCCTGAAGTCTAGGGTACATTTTGATTTACATCGGACAAAGCTACAGTTCGGTGCGACACCAATACACTCGGGTCAGACAAACAATAAACCTCAGTTTCACTTAGGTCGGACAGAATGTCCAGTCATTTCCTCTCTACGTCATGCAATTTCACAAATGGGTCAGACAATGACTGACTAATATTTTAAGGCCTGAACATCATAACAGGTATTGGAATTAACAGGTAAAGGGTAACATAATAACATTCTTTGAATGAAATGTAAGTCATTAATCATATACGAGTCTTATGAGAAAAAGGACTATCCATGGTTTTTGAACCATTTATGGTCAAAGAAACATTGATGGAGTCCCTTTGTTTTTTCAACTTCTAAAATATGAACTATAATTTATGAAAGTTGAAGTGGTAGAATCTTTTTCGTGAGATTAACCCACTGTCAGCAACACTGCACTCTCTCCCCTGGATGAGTTAAATCGTCTGGTGTTAGACAGTGAGAGTAAAATAATAAAGTAGAGGTTAATGGCATAACAAAACAGGCCCATGTAGTCAATAACAAATATAACTCTGATAAAAATCCCACCAAGACCCAATCCAATCTGAGAGAAAGTCAGAAAAACAAAAAAAATCTGATCCAATCTGGATGAGCATAATCTTGACTGAATTAGATCAATTATTAGACAGAACTCACACACACTAATTTCAAATGGTTGGTCAAAATAATGAAATGTCGGTTGAAACTAGAATCATTTGGCAATTTGCCTTTTCTTGGTCTACCAATGAACAATTTTTCCTTGTCAAGTTTTCCCTTGCCTAGTTTTATCCACTTGTGTTGTGCGAACTAGAAGTTGACATTAAGTCTTTCTTGACTACATTCCTTGTGTAAAAGCTAGTCATTTTGTGTGTATTAAAGCCGACCTGGAAGAAACGTCATTAATTAATAAAACAGGAATTTCAAAGAAAATTTGTTTTGTTGTATCACAAGCAAAAGGAATTCACCATTGAATAAAACTTGCCAAGGAATAATTGTCATCACATGAATAAGAAAATCAGCTTGTAAAAAAACACTAGCTGGTTTGTATGGGGCATATCTACACCTATTCAGCTTCATAAAATGCTACTTGCTTCCCAAGCTAGTATAGTCCACATAAACAGCCTCGTAGTTTATAGTTTAAACCGGATAATAATATACCTAGAAATTTCAGCTATATTTTTCTATTAGACAGAAATATACACTACCATAATGTTATATAAGATTTTTATAAGCTATTGTGTTCTTCCAAAGACAAAAGCTATATAATTGTAACTTTTCAAACGAAAACAATTATAAACATTACGACGTTCAAAGACTTTCAAGTGGCTGAAGTTAACGTTCGGAGGCAGGCAAAATTAATATTGACTCGATTTTATTACAATATTTTTCTATCACTCTCAATTTTAAGTAAATGAAATAACATTTAATACAAATTATACCAAACCAAGATTAACTACATACCTTTTCTAGGTCTAGCGGCTGAAACTGTCTCTAGTACAAACAAAGCGACAAGAAGAAATAGCTTCATGCCGAAGTGTTGATATTCTTTCGCGTATTTGTGAGTTTGTTCGTGCCAATCGACGCCTACAAGAAAAAGAGTATAAATTTCACTTACTGAAAACAACGTCGGAACAAAACACACAAAAAAAGCAATGTTTTACGTACTTTATTTGTGAATATTCCGTTGCAAAATAGTTGAAAACAAAACTACGCCAAAATTCTAATCTCCGGAATATTTTAGAATGGAATGTGGCAATTATGCCAAGCCTCGCTTTGATGTAACAATGTTTCCACAAACAAATTCCGAAAATGTCCATTTCAAATCGTAAAATTTCCGAATTGTGAAATTTGACATATATTTAAATTTAGCAACCAAGGAGCAGCTGCGAAAAACTGTAGGCCCTCTCGCACGAGTCCAATTTCAATGGGGGCCGAAATTTCAACTAACAGTGAGAGCTGACAGTGGTTTTCAGCTAATTGAATACATAGCACGCAAAGTTAGGAGGGATGAAAACTAGGGGCCTGGGGTCATGTCGGGCATAATTTGCATGGGCATAATTTGGCTGCAAAAATTTGCTTTATAGACTTTACTAGAAATACATGCATGCAGTAACCCATCGCCAATATTTTCCAAACATTAAATTAACATGAAGTATTCAGACATGGCCTACTGAACGCAGGCTCGCGCTCAAGTGTTGCCATGACAACACGATATTCTTAAATTTTTAATTTTTCATATTTTTTGTCAAAACTGCAAAATAGTTCAAAGATTCGTACTTTTAACTATGCAACAATAAATTTCCATATTATATACTGTAGGTATATTATTTTGCATTTTGTAAGCTTTGATTTAATGTAAAATTTAGCTTGAAACGCTTCGTAAAATGTTTTGAAATCTTCATTCAACTATAGTTGATTTGCCGATAAACTAATAAATATAAAACATAATAAGTTACAAATAAAACTAATTGTTAGGTAATTTCAGTTCAGTTTTCAAATCAATTTGTTCTCCTTTACATTTTAAGATTTTTCCTCAAATTAAACTGTAATTTATGAAAGTTAGAGCTTCGTTGAAAAGGAAAACAGTTCATGTTTATAGGCAAAAAGTTAACTAAAGAAACAAAATTCGTAAACATTAAATATTCGAAGGAAACTTGCCGTATATTTCACGATTTTCCATAGTAAATCTATTCTTCTCATCTCTTCAAACAAAATTGCTTCAATTAAGCTTGTTGTATATGAAACGATTTTTCAAATATATGTCTTTAAAATTGAAATCTTGCTCATCCCACTCCTACACGCAATCAGCCATATTTTAGAGATCAGTGAGAATGACCACCCATCGTTGGTGACCGACGCCCGCGATATTTGATGAACTTTAGACTTCGCTAATGCTTTCGTTTCCCCGGGTGTAAATAGCCGGGGGGAATTAGTACCCTCGCACGGCGCTTCGCGCCGTCGGCTCGGGGATAATTGACTTTGGTCAGTTTGGATGACTTGTTGTGGACTAAATTAGAATATAATTATAGTTGAAGTACCTCACGCTTTTTAAACAAGACATACTGTATATTTACAGGGCAACTTTACTTCTCACCAGGGAAATTGTGGTGTGAATTCCGGTCCGTTCACACTGAATAAACCACATTTTTGAGTTATTTTTACTTCTTTATTTAAACTAACTAATATAATAAAAATGTGATTTATTCGGTGTGAACGGACCGGAATTCACCACACTGAAAGTGGCGACCCCGGCAGGATAATTAACGGGGAATTTCATCATTTGTTTTATATTTACGATCGGATTGCGAAGGATTGTTTGTGGGAATTAGCAGTGGATATGGAACTGTGAGTACATTTTCTATTAATTTTGTGGATACATTTCAATTACTAAAGCGTTTATTTATCGTGGGTCCTCATTATATCGTTTAAAAACTACACAGTTTTGGATTAACTTAACAATTTTTCATTGGAAATCGGTCTTTACATGTTTTGTCGACAACAAAGTTTTTTTGGACATAACGTTTGTCTTACATCACGTACATGAGAAACAAAATATTTAATATTGGGTTTTCTATGGACTGGAACGTTGACAGTGGAATTGAATATAACATTGGTTAAATGCAATATATCAATACAGTGAAGTGATAAATAATTTGGAACTTGATTTCTAATACTAGTAGTACTATTACACTAAATGTTGTGGATTTCCAATTTGGAAAGAGGAGAGCACTTAATAAACAACTAACTGACATATTGTTACAACAAAATTGGATTGAGTTTTGAATTTTGCACGCTTTGTTCGGTACTGTATTTGAGACAATATGGCAACTGAAGCGAAACATGAGAAACAGGTGACATTTGCGAAAATAAACTTGTCCGAGGCTGAAGACCTTATAGCAACAATCTGGATGATACAGCCATGGCGTATGCGAAACTTGGGGAAATCATAAAACGACTTGAACTATCCAAGGACAACACTATACAATATATGATGGAAAATGACTCAGATTTGGAAACACTAAAAGCCTGGGCAGATAAACAAAAGGAATTAAAAGTGCAACAACAGGAAGAAGCAATTGGGGGGGGGGGACTTTGAAGCAATTGGGGGAAGATTAATGATGAGCAACTGAAATTTCAATTGCAACAAGAAAAGGAACTTCAAGAGGTGATGATAAGGAAACAACAAGAAGAATGGTTAAAGAAGAAAGTAGAACTGCAAATGCAAATGCAAATGCAAAGTGAAGCAACAGGGGGTGTAACAGCTGGCACAACAAACGAAACTCGATCTACAGTTAAGCTGGAAAAGTACACTATAACACCATTTACAGGGGATTACATGGACTGACTGAGATTCTGGAACCAGTTTACAGTAGAAGTCAACGGTCGACACCAACATTTCGGATGTGAGCAAATTTCACTATCTGTTAGAGTTAGTAAAAGGGAAACCCCGAGAGGACATTTTGGGTTTACCCCATACATCAGATCAGTGCCGCAGAGAGGTTGGCGGGGGCCCGGGGCAAAAAATTTTTTGGGGGCCCCCTTTTTGAAAAAAAATTTTCCGGAAAAATTTTTTTTCCGGACAACAATATCCCCCCCCCCTCCCCCCCGTCGCCAAAAAAATTCGGTCAGTGTACCATTTTAGGGGTCAAAAATTTTTCCGGACGAGTAGATTGCACGCACTTTCCAGAGACTTTATCTCATTTTTTATGCATAATTTCGGTACTTAACACAGAAAAGAGACTGGGGCCCAACAAAAATTGTTCAGGGGCCCCGACCACCTCGGGGCCCGGGGCAATTTGCCCCCACCCCCTCTCCCCCCCTCTCGGCGGCTCTGCATCAGATGGTTACAAGGTGAAAGAAACAAGAAAAAACAATGTATTTACTGTGAGTCAAAGGAACATACAGCTATCAATTACACGAAGATATTAGACAGATTTAGATCGAGGACGCGGACGTCAAAGACGACGTGAAAATGGCGTGTTGTGCCTATGTATGGATATGCCACGCCATTTTGACGCCATTTTCACGTCGTCGTTGACGTCCTCGATCTATATCAACCTATTAGATGTTGCTAAGCGACGTGAGATTCTAAAGCGAAAGAATTCCTGTTACAATTGAGCAACCCCACGCCATCGAGCCTCGACATGTAGAGCACAAGGCTGTCATAAATGTGGAGAAAAGCATCGCACTTCAACTTGTCAACAAAAGGGCCCATCTTCAATGGATGAGATGAATAATAGCAAAGGGGAAAAGGGTTATGCAGGTATTCGACGTGAAGCAGGTGTGGATGAACTTGGACGTGAAAAAACTGATAAGGCTCTTGGTGCAGCCCAAAGTAATCAACCTACTGTACACCCGACATTGCATGCCAAGATTGGGGACGAAAAGGTGCGAGTTAAGATTGACACTGGGGGAAGTAGTTCATACATTTGTAGTGACTTTGTTACTGAGCTAAAACTGACACCAGTACGGCAAGAAATGCGCTGTATCGAATAAATGTATGGGACGGTGGATAAAGTTGTTGAGGTATATGAAGTGTCACTGCATGCAGTCACTGGCTGTTCGTGGCTATGATATTAAGATAGAATGTATCAATGCAGAAAAGGGCATCTTGACGTGCCTTCCAAATCCCAAAATTGTTGAGTTAAAGCGACAAAACCCAAGGCTTGGTGAAGTGAGTCTGTGTGAGGAGAAAACAATCTCTGCAAGAATGCCTGTCCATATAATGCTTGGGGTTTCTGATTTCCAGAGGATTAGAACCAGTGGAAATCTCATCTTAGGTACTAACCCAGATACGGATCCGGGTGCAGAGTTCACAATGCTGGGGTTGACGGTGTTTGGTGGTAAACAGAATGGAATGCAGCCTGTAAAGAACTTTTTGCTTCACCCTGCCCAAAAGGAGTTTGAGAAGTTGTGTAACCTAGACGTCCTTGGAGTGGCTGATCCAATTGATAAGCAAGTTTTTGTGCACGAAAGCTTCAGGCTACAACTCGAAAAGAATGATGCAAGATTTTACGAAACTAGACTGCCTTGGAAACAGGGGCGTAGGAACCAGGGGCACGGGAGGCACGTGCCTCCCCCCCCCCCCTAAAAGTGCCCTTTTTTGTGATGAAATGTGCCCTTTTTTGTGATGAAAAGTGCCCTTTTTTGTGATGAAAAGTGCCCTTTTTTGTGATGAAAAGTGCCCTTTTTTGTGATGAAAAGTGCCCTTTTTGTACAAGCTAATGTCGCCGTAAATACTAAATTAACATCAAAGGTGCCCTTTCCAAGTTTTTAAAAAAAATTTGGTCAAAAACCTGCAATTTTGGTATGGTATGACGGGAAAATATTTCTCCCCCCCCCCTCCCCCGTCGCAAACATTTCCGGGAAAAATTTTTTAGGTGCCCTTTTCAATACCCTAAAGTGCCCCTAGAAGCCGGTCCCCCCTCCCCAATCTTTTGATGCTTCCTACGCCCCTGCTTGGAAACCCTATCACATGGCATTGCCCGACAACAAGCAATTATCAATTGCAAGACTACGCAGCACCACTCGAAAACTAGAAAAGAATGGAAAGGTAGAGAAATACAATAAAAACATGCGGGAACAATTAACTACTGGTTGATTGAACACGTTCCTGAGAGTCCGAGCGGAAATATAGTTCACTACGTTCCCCACCACCTGTTATCCGAGAACAAGCAGAGTCAACCAAGAAGCGTATAGTCTATGACTGCTCTTCCAAGGCAAATCAAGTGCCGTTCCTAAACGACTGCTTAGAGACTGGACCTTCATTGCAAACGCTATTGTTTGACATCTTAGTACGAAATCGTTTTCGTAGGTATTGTGTAACTGGTGATGTGAAGAAAGCCGTCCTACAGATCATGATTCAGCGTTGTGATCGCGATGCCCAACGTGTGCTCTGGTATGATGACTTGGAATGCTGTAATATAGTTGCATGAATATCGGTTTACGCGTGCGATATTTGGTTCCACATCTAGTCCGTACATACTGGGGGCAACTTTGGAGAAACATTTGGAACAATATGAGAACAGGTACACTAGTACAGTTAAATCCCTACGCAATGACACGTATGTTGATGACATATTGACATCCAAGGTGGCGGAAATTCCGAGAAGATGTCATCAAATTCAAGGTCGAATCAACTGAAATCATGAATGAAGCTGCTTTCGAATTGCATAAATGGCACAGCAACTGTCCAGCCGTTAAGTCAACAAACAACGCGAACGAGAATGAGACCACCTATGCAAAAACCTTTGTCGGGAACGTATCATCCAATGAAACGAAGATTCTGGGACTACCCTGGAACAAGAAAACCGATGCCATGACCATTAACTTTGAAACTTGTATTGAAGTTAAGAAACCCGTCACGAAACGGAAGGTCATTGGTGCAATCAACAGCGTTTATGATATTCTGGGTTGGTCTTCGCCAATTATTATCACTGCCAAGATAATCTTCGCGGAGATTTGTTTGTTAAAGAAGCACTGGGACGAACCGTTACTTGGATAAAACACGTTCACTTGGATAATACACCTACAACAGCAAAGCTACATAACGGTGCCTCGTAGCGTTGTTATGAAAGGAGGAGCTACATTTGAAATCCATGAATTCCCTGACGCAAGTAAAGTAGCTGTCTGCGCGGCAATTTACGTGATTGAGTACTGTGGAGCATTACCTATCACTCAAAAGTTGCTTGTTGCCAAATCTCGAGTCGCTCCAATTAAAGAACGCCACTATTCCACGATTGGAATTGATTGCTGCGTTAACACTCGCTAAGTTACAGAACAACGTGATCAAGGCACTGGAAAACATTAACATACAAACTACAGGGCGTCTCAAAAAAAAACGCTAATATGGAAATTCAACAGGCTGTTGTGCATCACAAACTTAACTAAACAATTCAATTTTTACATAGGACGAAAGAGCTGTTATTTAGCTTTTCTATGATACCTTTCTTAAACCGTAACGATGAGAAATGGCCACATAACTCGTCAAATAAAAAATTTCGGTCGAAATCACATTCTTCCACCGTTGGGAATTGAAAAACATTAATTATGCGAAGTTAATCAATCAAAAAGCACCACGAGTCAGCTGCCAGGTACTTGTTTCGTAAAACGTTTTGATTACGAATGTTCTCTGTTCCGGGGTTAATTGAACCATATTTAATGCAATAATGGACGTTCTTATGGTCTCACTAAGACGAAGATTGACGAGTTGAGCTTATTTTAGATAATTAACATTCAATTTTAATCCCTCTTGGGAATTGTTTATGTTTCATTTTCCATGCAATTATATTCCCAACGGTGGAAGATTCCAAGGCGGTGTTGCCTTGATAGATTACTTGTCAGTGACGTACATGAACAGATTGGTCACAGGGGAGTGTTTTCGACCATGGCCAAAGTGAGAGAACAGTTCTGGATACCACAACTGAGAGTGTTAGTGAAAAGTGTTATCCACGAATGCAATAAATGTAAGCTATTCCGAGTGAAGCCTCTCCACCCACCAACAACGGCACCATTACCAGAGTTCAGAACACAGATGACCCACCCTTTTGCTGTGACTGGCGTTGATTTTGCTGGCCCATTGTTGTACCAAACCCCCAAGAGGAAAACACCGAAAGCATACGTAACGTTGTTTACATGTACTACAACAAGAGCTGTCCATCTTAAACTATGCAAAAGTATGACTGCTGAAGAATTCAAAAGAAGCTTGAAAGAGTTTGTGGATAGACGCGGAACCCCTCACAAACTGGTGAGTGATAACGCCCTGACCTTCAAGGCCGCATATCAATGGCTTGATATGCTTATACAGGATGAGGACTTGTTTAACTATCTGAATACACAACGAATCGAGTGGAGTTTCAATCTCGCGAGAGCCCCATGGTGGGGCGGATTGTTCGAAAGAATGGTCGGCATCATGAAAGTTAGTCTGTCTAAAGTTGTAGGACGGGCTCTACTCAAATATGAAGAACTAGAAGAAGTCCTACTTGGTATTGAATGTTTTATGAATAATCGACCGCTTTGTCATTAAGAAGAAGAAATAGAACATCCTATTCTCACGCCAAATCTATTGATCATGGGACATCGGCACATTTCTTAGAGGAAGACTTGGAGGCGTTGGATGAGAAAGATCTGATAACTAAAAGAATAAAAATTCTGAAGACTTGTCGACAGCAACTTAGAAAGCGTTGGCAGACGGAATACCTCCATGCGCTGGAAGAAAGACACCGAAATATTGTCGGTAAAGAAGAAACGTTGCCTTCGAAGGGATCTGTAATTAATTATGATTACGGACAGCAGTAAAATGAAATATAAGTGGCAAGTTGGACGGATTGTTGATACGATTCAAGTAAAAGATGGAGTATTGAGGGGATACCAGATCAAGACTGGGACTGGGTATGTTGTTGAACGACCAATACAATTGATCTGCGACCTAGAAATCAAAGTATGTAAGGATAATGAGCCGTCGAAGAAGAGAGATCACATAGAGAATGAAATGGTAGCCGACCAGTCGCAAGATGTAGAGTCGAAGAAAAGACCTCAGAGAAAAGCAAAAAGTGAAAAAAGTGCAGCGATTAACATGATCAAGGGTGTTTCGCTAAATGAGTTAGAGGACTAGATGAAAACGTACATTAAAGCTGTAACAGTTTCAAAAGGCATGTACTAAAACACGGAACACTAATCCAGAACACCTCCGGTACAGCCCGGAACACCTCGGGAACAGCCCGGAACACGTCCGGAACAGCCCGGAACACCTACGGAACAGCACGGAACAGTCCGGAACACCTACAGAACATGGCGGAACAGCACGAAACAGTCCGGAACACCTCCGAAACAGCCCGGAACACCTCCGGAACAGCACGGAACACCTACGGAACAGCCCGGAACAGCACGGAACAGTCCGGAACATCTACGGAACATAGCGGAACAGCCCAGAACACCTCCGGAACAGCACGGAACGCCTGCGGAACAGCCCGGAACACCACCGGAATAGAACGGAACAGTCCGGAACAGTTGGAAACGGCCCGGAAAACCACCGGCACACCTCCGGAGCTGTGGCTTTTAACGATTTAAGCGCCAATTAGGACTCGAATTTGGGGCTATCTTTAAATCAATGGGGAAATGCGGGAATGGAGAATGCTACAACTTCATTAATGTGATACGCATTAAAACTTATGCCATGAACGTCTTTTGTTGTTTCAGAGTATGTTTTTTATGCTCGTGTTTTTAGTGATTTTCACAACTGTCTAACGTTTGTTAAAAAAATACGTCAGGACTCAAGCCTTTGCCGGTTTCATATATTTAACATAATCTAGTAATCTACTATAATAACATAATTAAACAAAACAAAATATAAAAATACGTTTATCAGGATATGTACAGTGGAAACCTGAATTAAGAGCAAAAACTAATAGACCATTCCGAATTACGCTCTAGAATAACACCATGTTGAGGTACAGTGCTTATAAGTACTCAAAAACGTTAGTGTCTAACAGAGTCTGCAGTCAATGTGAAACCTAATTGAGAAATAGTCTACGGTATAGCATTTTTGATGCAGTATATGATCTACGCCGATAAAGCCGGACAAAGTGCTTAGTGCTCATCACTCATCAGTACTCTAAAACATTACATTTTCGCACAGGCGCCAAAATTAAAACTCTTCACATGAAACAACTTTAATTGTTCTTTTCAAGTTAAAATATTTACACTATAATCTAAACGCTAAGCGGATTTTCTACAACCGGCCACTGACAATTAGAGCATATATATACTGAGCTCTATAATTGTGCTAAGCAACAAAACTCCGGCAAAAATGTATAGTTAGTTTGGAGAAAACACTGTTCCACCTACTATCCTTTTTCATCCAAATTAAAGGACCCAGCCAAACTCCCCAACAAGCCTTTGGACGTGTTCTAACTTGAAAAGTTGTTGGAATTCTGGTTGAACCAAGAGGACTCTCCCATTGAAACTCGGATATTTCGCTCGAATGCATGACGCTTTCATAGAAAATGAACGTTAATTCAGGTTTCCACTGTACATTGCCTGATAAAAACTTATTATTATACTTTTTTTGGTGTAACTACATGCTACTACAATATGTATATACTAGATTATATTAAGTTAAATATGTGAATCAAATTTTGAGTCCAGACGTATTCTCTTTAACAGACGGATATTTTAAGATATTAGCCTCTTTTCAATTCTTTTATCAGTATACACGAGTACGAGTTATGAATATACTCCGAAACAACAAAAGACGTTCATGGCAAACGTTTTAACTCGTGTCATAAGTTAATGAAATTCCCCTATTTTAAAGATAGCCCTTATTTGGTAGCCTGTGCACATCCTGTATGGTAATACAGGATGTGCACAGGCTATTATTTGGCGCCTAAATGGTTAAAAAAAAGCCACAGCTCCGGAGGTATTCCGGTGGTCAGTTTCCGGGCTGTTTCCAACTGTCCCGTTCTATTCCAGTGGTTTTCCGGGCTGTTCCGCAGCCGGTTCCGGGCTGTTCTGTGCTGTTCTGTTCTGTTCCGGAGGTGTTCCCGGCTGTTCTGGACTGTTCCGGAGGTGTCCCAGAGGTGTTCCGGGCTGTTCCAGATGTGTTCCGGGCTGTTCCGTAGGTGTTCAAGGCTGTTCCGTGCCGTTCCGGAGGTTTTCCGGACTGTTCCGCCATGTTCCGTAGGTGTTCCAGGCTGTTCCGTGCTGTTCCGGAGGTGTTCCGGACTGTTCCGCCATGTTCCGTAGGTGTTTCAGACTAGTTGTTCCGTGCTGTTCCGTAGGTGTTCCGCGCTGTTCCGTAGGTGTTCCGGGCTGTTCCGCGCTGTTCCGGAGGTGTTCCGGACTGTTCCGCTATGTTTCGTAGGTGTTCCGGACTGTTCCGTGCTGTTCCGTAGGTGTTCCGCGCTGTTCCGTAGGTGTTCCGGGCTGTTCCGTGCTGTTCCGGAGGTGTTCCGGATTAGTGTTCCGTGTTTTAGTACATGCCGTTTCAAAACACTTTAATGGGGGAGAGTGCAAAAAGTCGCTGATGATATTATCATTAGTTAATGTTATTAATATTCTGTTAAGCGCTCACAGGAGAACTGGAAACGAGTGACGTTTTAATCGTGTTTTTGGTGTGTTCGAGAACTTTATGATATTATTTAGTTTTAAATAAAGAAGTAAAAATAACTAAAAAATGTGGCATGTAGTAAAACACTGACCGGCCGGAACACCGGAACACCACCGGAACACCACCTAACCCTAACCCCAACCCTAACCCCCAACCCTAACCCTAGCCCCAAACCCTAACCCCAAACAAAATGGTGGTGTTCCGGTGTTCCGGTAGTCAGTGTTTTACTACATGCCAAAAAATGTGATTAATTCAGTGTGAACGGACCGGAATTTACTACAGTGGTCAGAATATTTCATTGACCACAAAGTTGGTAATTTTTTGTTCACTTGCCTTTTCGGAAAGCGATCAAGAATATTAAGTGAGTGGTGTTGCTACTTTTTGTTGGTACTTTTTAAATCACACATGAGTTTTTGCTCCCTTTTCTATATTTTTGGTATCCCTATACCTTTTTCAAGTTTTTCTCGGCTATCTTACTTTTACCAACAACCAAATTCGACGAATGCAAGCTGATAAGCCCTATGTGAGATAAAATTGCTTTGTGCCTCTTGCATTCTGATAAATGCAGTGCCGCAGGCCACATTGCGTATTACTTATATCCCACCCATAAACTAGTCAGCTGGGGTAGCTGTAGTTATGTGAAGTCACTATCAAAGGGTCTATATATAGTTGCATTTTTAACCACTCGATCCTGGTTAGCCGTTAGGTCTAAACATGTATATAAATTTGCGTTCAAAAATTTCATCTAACAAAATGAAAAGCGAATCTAAGATGAAACTCGATCGATATTAAATAGTAACTAGTTTACCCACAGGGTAGTGAATGCTGCCTTGGTATAGCATTGTTCCCAAATCTTTAAATGAGATTTTTTGTATGTTATATACGTAACACGCGCTCAAAACTAATGCGTATATAATATACCACATGAGATTATGACAAAATTTTTATTTTTCGATACGTTTCTCAATCGGTAACAAAAAAAACTTTAAAAAGTATGTTTAGTGCTTTATCTGTAAAATAATGCTAAAATGAAGAGATTTTAGATGATACGGCAAAGAGAAAATGATGTCTGAAGTTCAGTACGTTTTGCTTAAATGGCTGTAAATATAGACCTTATTCATAAATCGTGATGAGGCCTCGTATCCTAGGAAACGGGGAAAAACGCGGGAAAATTGACAAAATGTTTTTTTGCTGTCGGCTATTGGCAGCTTTTTATTCGTGAATATTACGGCTTTTTTCGAAAATAGTATCTATAAAACTGAGCTTGAAAGTTGAAAAAAATACTTCTGAGAAAATATAACATGATATTTAAAGCAAAAGGTACTGGAGTCAATCGAAAAAGGAAACCTTTGACTTTGTATTTATATTGCCAAGTTTGTATGGCCAAAACAAACAACCAACAAGGCTACAAAACGTCTATACAACACCAAAATCGTAGGAAATATGGAACTATTGTTGAAGAAATAGGATTACAACTCACTCAGGTAATGTAGCCTTCATTTTTTAAACTTGTAAGCTGCTTGCAGAATGTTATCGAGCCACAGCCATAGTTCATATTTTTCCGTACGAATCAATAACCAGGGGTTTCAGAATAAGCCGGTGGCCGGCGGAGTAACCGCCGGCTACTTGAACTTTTACCGCCGCCTACTTTTCGTCAGGTCACAGGAAAAATTTTATATACAAAAGTACAAGCGAACCAACACAATGTTTGTTATGTTCCAATTGGAATTCAAGTTGGCCTCGAATTTCCCTGAAATCAATTGACGGCAATGGCGTTAAAAATTGCCGTAGAACGTAAAAGCTGTCTACGGCAATTTTGTGAGTTTCCACGGCATTTTTTTTATCAAATTGCTGTAATAAAAAATTAACTTTATTGTACAGACTTTGGATTGCTGACAAGCTAGAAACATGTCAGTTTACGTATTTCTTTAGTGTTTTTTTTTCGAAGAAAACTGAGACTAAAATAGTAATTTACGGATGATTTGATCAACATCTGAATTCAAGTATCAAAATAGTATAACTGCACAGTGAACATGAGTTTAAAAATACTATACGGCAAAAAATTGCCGTCATTGCCGCAATGATCCACAGCATTTTGTTCTCCCTCTACAGTAATTGCCGTGATAAAATTCAAGCTAGCCCTGAATTCAACCAAAACATCACTTCTTTTGGAAGATCAATAAGATAAATTATAATACATAGTACCAAACATAGCAAAAGAAAGAAGAAGTGGTGAAGTGAAGTTCATTACGTACATAAATATAACATCATTTGATTAATGATTTCGGACTCATAAAATAATTACTATTACTGTAGTATACATTGTCATTCTGTTCATGCAGCTGTAAAAATTAAACTACAGGTAGTACATTAAAGTACATTGTCATTTGTCACTTACAAGTATAAGGGGCGGACCATTTGATTTTTAAGGGGGGGAGGGTTGAAAGATTTCGGAAAAAACATTCATGCAATCAAAGGAGAAAGAAAAAAAATCATGCAACATACAA